TAAAGGATCTGCAGTATTTTATGAAGTATTAATCGTACAAAGGTCAGTTTTATACAAGTAGAAGTGTGTATTTACCTGGTAGTAGGCTGTCAGTAATGGCTACGCCTCTCTATTTGGACTGGTAGATCTCGGCAGACTGGCAACTTTAAAAGTAGCTCTCGGTTCAAAAAAGGTTGGGCACCCCTGGGTTATAGTAACAGCTACAACATTAAAATACTTCTAGGCAGATTGAGGAGGAGAATGGGAGAATGAACAGAGAAACATCCATCTGAATAATAATAATAATAACTTTATTTGTATCGCACCTTTCATACAGGGGATTGCAGTTCAAAGTGCTTTACATCAGTAAGAAATAAGATATAAAATCAGTGTAAAATAAGCAGCAAGAGCAAAGCATAAAGTGGGATAAAATAATGCAGATATATATATATATATATATATATATAGTAATCCCAACAGGCCACCTTGTTTATGGTTTGATTCAGTTTTACATTACATTTATTTGATAACTTCAGTTAACTTTGAAGATTCCGAACACAACAAAATATAATCAAGACATATTTTATCATGTATTATAGTAGAAAGTAGAAATAGTTTGAGTAGTTTTTAGTAGAAATCTCCCTTACAATAAAGGCAGTATAGTATGGCCTGTGTGTCATCTCCAATAAATGTCTTCAACCATCCTTTAAACTCAGGGTTTGATTCCCACTCCTTTCTGTACTTTTGTGAATACAGTTTAGACTGTGACACGATGACCTACGTGGATGTTTAGCTTGTCACAGAGAGGCGCACACACACAGTGGACGAGGTGATTAAGTGACTTAAGCTGTCTCGACGCGGGAGAGTGTGTCTGTCTCCTCTCTGCTCTGACTGCAGCTGAGCTGCTGCGGGAGGCAAAGCTAGTCTGCGCACCTGTGAGGGGGCTCACGGCAGCTCGTTAACTGCAGAACAATACGTGAGTCTCCAAACACCAGAAAAGTTCCTAATAACACCATTACAAGTCGTTAGTCGCTTTTGACAAAAATAAGTAGCTGGAGGGTTTGGAAAGCCGCCGGATTTAACGACAAAGTCGCCAAGTTGGCAACACTGGTCTGTGTGTGACTTCTTAAATCGTTTGTTTACGTCCCTCACTTCCGTTTTGCTTCTGATTCGCTAGCTGAACAGCCAATCAGAGTGATTGCTTGGTCCGACTGCCTGACCCGATGTATGGCCGATTCATGCATCAGGTCAGGCAGTCCAAATAACGCGTGTCACGGCAGACGGTGCGGGACACACCAACCTGACTACGGCGCCGCGAATGCCCGACAGCCTCTGACGGCTTCTGACTCCCAAAATCGGGTTGGTGTGTCAGGGCCTTTAGCAGTGTCGGCAGTGTCAGCAGTGTGGCCAGCGTCGGCAGAGTCAGCAGTGTTAGCAGTATTAGCAGTAATAGCATGGTTAGCATTGTCTGCAGTGTTGGCAGTGATAGCATGGTTAGTGTTAGAAATTAAAATCAATGTTTTGATGGCATAAAGTACCTTAAACATACCGTCAGTTTAAATGCTGTTTTATACTGAAAAACCAGAAGTTCTTGTGCACAACCAGTTGTTAAGCTTTTATTCTGAAAATCCTTCATCTCCGGTTAGCATTTAGCATGTGGCTAATATACCATTTACTATAGAGGTGAATTTAATTTAGTAGTGATATGACACGGAGTGTTGCACACCGAAACCTACTGATTTCAACACTACAACTACAGACATCGAGATATTATTATTGCTGAATATTAAATGAAGGTACAGTTTATTTGAATACGTTTGTTTACAGACGTGGGTAGCATGAGACAACATCCGGAACTACCGGAAATAAAACCAGCCGTGAAGTATTTCCTGTATTTTTGGAGTATTGATTACAGCGTTTAAAATGTATTAAATGAAAAGTCATGAAAGACAATGAGGAGGAAAGGGGTGTTTAGTTATATATTTAATGTACAATGGCCCTTTCTCATTTCTCTAACTCCCCTCCTCGACTCCCCTCCTCGACTCCTATCCTCGAGACTTAGTCCTGCCCACAGGAGATGCGAACGGAGGAGAGAGGAGAGGAGCCGAGGAGAGAGGAGGGGAAGCAGCAGGCGGTTAGAGAAAGGAGAACTCCTCTCCTCTGAGCGGTCATTTTAAAGAGACGTCCATTAATGATGACAGGAGGCAGCAGCCCTCTGTCTGATGGACAGATGTGTTCATGACCACTTCTATATTTACTTTCATTCATTCACAGTGCGGTGTCATGAGACAATAACAGGGCAAGGCAAGGCAAGTTTATTTATATAGCACTTTTCAACACAAGGCAATTCAAAGTGCTTTACAAAAAATGAAAGACATTAAGAAAATGGCATTTAAAATCAGTCATTAAAAAGAAAAGCTAATAAAATAAACATTAAAAGAAAAAGTACATGGATAAAAGTTAAAGTGCAGTTTAAGATGTGAATAGTTCAATTAAAAGCAGCGACAAAAAGAAAAGTCTTCTTGCTGGATTTAAAAGTAGTCAGAGTTGCAGCGGACCTGCAGGTTTCTGGGAGTTTGTTCCAGATATTTGGAGCATAATAACTGAATGCTGCTTCTCCATGTTTAGTTCTGACTCTGGGGACAGGAAGCTGACCAGTCCCTGAAGACCTGAGAGATCTGGATGCTTCATCATTTAGCAGGAGGTCAGAAATGTATTTTGGGCCTAAACCATTCAGTGCTTTATAAACCAGCAGCAGTATTTAGAAATCTATTCTTTGACACACAGGAAGCCAGTGTAAAGACTTCAGAACTGGAGTGATCCACTTTCTTAGTGTTAGTGAGGACTCGAGCAGCGGCGTTCTGAATCAGCTGCAGCTTCCTCATAGATTTTTTAGTGAGACCTGTGAAGACACCATTGCAGTAGTCGAGTCTACTGAAGATAAAAGCATGGACAAGTTTCTCCAAATCCTGCTGTGACATTAGTCTTTTAATCCTAGATATGTTCTTTAGGTGATAGTAAACAGGCTACAGATGAGGACACACACACACACACACTCTCACTCACACACACTGTACCACACACACACACAAATATATATATATTTATATAAATACCATTTCAGAATCAAACAGAGCACTCTCATAATAACGTAACACTATCAGAGACTGGATATATCCCCCCCCCCCTCCCTGGTCGCTACAATGAGGGAAATAAATTACGGGCCAAAAGTTTTATTTACAAGACCTGTCTGTCCGCTGCATCTACGCACTGTACAACACACACCTGCAGCTCCTAAAGCCTCCTCAGGCAGCAGCCGTTGTGTATTTTATTTTGTGAAGCACTAAATGCTCTGAGAAACATCTGGACTCTTTGTTTGTAGATATCTACTAAACTAAAGCAAAGAGAGTCGGCCTGTTCTACTGAGTGATATCTATGATACACACTGCTCTGCTTTCTGCACGGACCTCTCAGCTGTTCTCTCTGGAAACATCGCGTCACGATGAGAGCAGTTACTACAATAATATCCAGGGGATGCATGCAGAGCTGTGATTGGCTGAGATCAGTCCGGCCGTGAATCACGCCTCTTTGAAACATCTCTGTTCCCGGAAATGCATCCACGAAGGAGCCGAGGAGGAGCCATCAGTGTCTCCTCGGTTAGAGCTCCTCCAGAGAGCCTCCTCCCTCCTCTGTCCTCTCTCCTCTCCTCTCTCCTCGGTTAGAGCTCCTCCAGAGAGCCTCCTCGACGCTCGATGCTCGGTCCTCGAAGTGCATTTAGAGAAATGAGATGTCCTTCAATGTGGCGCGCTAAAATTCATTTCCGGGTCACTACCGGAGGACCGAGGAGTCGAGGAGGGGGATTTGATGAAATGAGAAAGGGCCAATGTCTGAATCCTCTGTTATGCGCAACAATGGACATTGGAGACGTGGAGGGCCGGCCCCCAACAGCGCCAACCGGCACATGGGGAGGAGCCAGCAGAGGATATTTAACAGCTGAAAAAGTGGTTCTCGCTCTCTTCCCTTCGCTCTCGAGAGCCTGAGAACACAGCTGTTTTTCTGACTGAACCATCTTCTGCTTGTAACATTACCGCGCCTTTTTTAATTAAAGTACCATTTGAACCTTCTCAGAGACTCCATTTAGTCTCCTTTTAAAGCTTCACTCCTGGACGCGAGAATAACGCACACAGTTAACATTAGCAGTGTCAGCAGTGTCTGCAGTGTTGGCAGTGATAGCATGGTTAGCAGTGTCAGCAGTGATAGCATGGTTAGCAGTGTCTGCAGTAATAGCATGGTTAGCAGTGTCGGCAGTGTTAGTGTTGGCAGTGATAGCATGGTTAGCAGTGTCGGCAATGTTAGCAGTATTAGCAGTGTCAGCAGTGATAGCATGGTTAGCAGTGTTAGCAATGTCAGCAGTGTTAGCAGTGTTAGCAATGTTAGTGTTAGCAGTGTCAGCAGTGTTAGCAGTATTAGCAGTGTCGGCAGTGTTCATGTTAGCAGTGTTAGCAATGTTAGCAGTGTCGGCAGTGTTAGCAGTATTAGCATTGTCTGCAGCGTCGGCAGTGTTCATGTTAGCAGTGTTAGCAGTGTTAGCAGTGTTCATGTTAGCAGTGTTAGCAATGTTAGTGTTAGCAGTGTCAGCAGTGTTAGCAGTATTAGCAGTGTTCATGTTAGCAGTGTTAGCAGTGTCGGCAGTGTCGGCAGTGTTCATGTTAGCAGTGTTAGCAGTGTCGGCAGTGTCGGCAGTGTTAGCAGTATTAGCATTGTCTGCAGCGTCGGCAGTGTTCATGTTAGCAGTGTTAGCAGTGTTAGCAGTGTTAGCAATGTTAGTGTTAGCAGTGTTAGCAGTGTTAGTGTTAGCAGTGTTAGCAATGTTAGTGTTAGCAGTGTCGGCAGTGTTCATGTTAGCAGTGTCGGCAGTGTTCATGTTAGCAGTGTCGGCAGTGTTCATGTTAGCATTGTCTGCAGCGTCGGCAGTGTTAGCAGTGATAGCAGAGTTAGCAATGTTCGCAGAGTTGTCTCACGTTGACGGTCTTCCCAAAGGGCAGAGTGACGTCCAGCACGCAGACCCCAGAGAGAGGCTCTGTGTCTCCGAGGTGCAGGAACACCGGGGGTTTGATGCTGCTGTCCACCGGCAGGAGGACATCACTGCTGCTGCTGCTCATCTGGAGGAGACACATCAGAGACATTTAGATCACACACATCATCCACAGTGATGTTTAACTGGTGGGGGAAACTCCTGAAACCTCTTACTAAAATGACATGAGTGCAGACAATATGTTGTTGTTGTTGATATTGTAGATCAACACATGTTGTTGTTGTTGATATTGTAGATCACCACATGTTGTTGTTGTTGATATTGTAGATCACCACATGTTGTTGTTGTTGATATTGTAGATCACCACATGTTGTTGTTTATATTGTAGATCACCACATGTTGTTGTTGTTGATATTGTAGATCACCACATATTGTTGTTGATATTGTAGATCACCACATGTTGTTGTTGTTTTTGATATTGTAGATCACCCCATGTTGTTGTTGATATTGTAGATCACCACATGTTGTTTTTGATATTGTAGATCACCACATGTTGTTGTTGTTGATATTTTAGATCACCACATGTTGTTGTTGATATTGTAGATCACCACATGTTGTTGTTGTTGTTGTTCATATTGTAGATCACCACATGTTGTTGTTGTTTTTGATATTGTAGATCAACACATGTTGTTGATGTTTTTGATATTGTAGATCACCACATGTTGTTGTTGTTGATATTGTAGATCACCACATGTTGTTGTTGATATTGTAGATCACCACATGTTGTTGTTGTTGATATTGTAGATCACCACCTTTTGTTGTTGTTTTTGATATTGTAGATCAACACATGTTGTTGTTGTTTTTGATATTGTTGATCACCACCTTTTGTTGTTGTTGTTGATATTGTAGATCACCACATGTTGTTGTTGTTGATATTGTAGATCACCACATGTTGTTGTTGTTGATATTGTAGATCACCACATGTTGTTGTTTATATTGTAGATCACCACATGTTGTTGTTGTTGATATTGTAGATCACCACATATTGTTGTTGATATTGTAGATCACCACATGTTGTTGTTGTTTTTGATATTGTAGATCACCCCATGTTGTTGTTGATATTGTAGATCACCACATGTTGTTTTTGATATTGTAGATCACCACATGTTGTTGTTGTTGATATTTTAGATCACCACATGTTGTTGTTGATATTGTAGATCACCACATGTTGTTGTTGTTGTTGTTGATATTGTAGATCACCACCTTTTGTTGTTGTTTTTGATATTGTAGATCAACACATGTTGTTGTTGTTTTTGATATTGTTGATCACCACATGTTGTTGTTGTTGATATTGTAGATCACCACATGTTGTTGTTGTTGATATTGTAGATCACCACATGTTGTTGTTGTTGATATTGTAGATCACCACATGGTGTTGTTGTTGATATTGTAGATCACCACATGTTGTTGTTGTTGACATTGTAGATCATCACATATTGTTGTTGTTGTTGTTGATATTGTAGATCAACACATGTTGTTGTTGTTTTTGATAATGTAGATCACCACATGTTGTTGTTGTTGATATTGTAGATCACCACATGTTGTTGATATTGTAGATCACCACATGTTGTTGTTGTTGATATTGTAGATCACCACATGTTGTTGTTGATATTGTAGATCACCACATGTTGTTGTTGTTCATATTGTAGATCACCACATGTTGTTGTTTTTGATATTGTAGATCAACACATGTTGTTGTTGTTGTTGTTGTTGATATTGTAGATCACCACATGTTGTTGTTGTTGATATTGTAGATCACCACATGTTGTTGTTGATATTGTAGATCACCACATGTTGTTGTTGTTGATATTGTAGATCACCACATGTTGTTGTTGTTGATATTTTAGATCACCACATTGTGTTGTTGTTGATATTGTAGATCACCACATGTTGTTGTTGTTGTTGATATTGTAGATCATCACATATTGTTGTTGTTGTTGATATTGTAGATCAACACATGTTGTTGTTGTTTTTGATATTGTAGATCACCACATGTTGTTGTTGTTGATATTGTAGATCACCACATGTTGTTGATATTGTAGATCACCACATGTTGTTGTTGTTGATATTGTAGATCACCACATGTTGTTGTTGATATTGTAGATCACCACATGTTGTTGTTGTTCATATTGTAGATCACCACATGTTGTTGTTGTTTTTGATATTGTAGATCAACACATGTTGTTGTTGTTGTTGTTGATATTGTAGATCACCACATGTTGTTGTTGTTGATATTGTAGATCACCACATGTTGTTGTTGTTGATATTGTAGATCACCATGTTGTTGTTGTTGTTGTTGATATTGTAGATCATCACATGTTGTTGTTGTTGATATTGTAGATCACCACATGTTGTTGTTGTGTTTGATATTGTAGATCAACACATGTTGTTGTTGTGTTTGATATTGTAGATCACCACATGTTGTT